AAAGGTGACCTGTGTATAAAGACCTCCCCATAGTGACCATATTTGGCAGTCTCATGCAAGTTACATGTAAAGTGACCTGTGTATAAAGACCTCCTCCCCATAGTGACCATATTTGGCAGTCTTCATGCAAGTTACATGTAAAGTGACTTGTGTATAAAGACCTCCTCCCCATAGTGACCATATTTGGCAGTCTTCATGCAAGTTAAATGTAAAGTGACTTGTGTATAATACGTGTGATCAATAACCACATTGTTAGCAATGGTTTTATCAAATAAACCTGTAAATAAATGCGAATTGGCTGTTTTAATGTTAGAAATATTACAAATTGTCAATTTAATCAAGACAGACAAAATTATATTTATTTATTTCTACTTTTCAAATATTTGTTGAACATGCAACGAAAATTGTGGAGAGGGTGATAGTGAATAGAATCCGGAAATTAGTGGAAGTGGATGAGATGCAGTTTGGTTTTATGCCAGGGAAAGGAACAATTGATGCAGTGTTTATTCTGAGGAGGATGCAAGAGGAATATCGTGCAAAAGGGAAGAAACTGTATATGTGTTTTGTGGATTTGGAGAAGGCTTTTGATAGAGTCCCGAGGAAGGTGATGGAGTGGGCAATGCGGAAGAGAGGTATACCAGAGGCAATGGTAAGAGCAGTGATGAGTTTGTATGAAGGAGCAAAGACAAGAGTTAGAGTAGGATCGGAGTTGTCAGAGGAGTTTGAGGTGAAGGTGGGTGTGCATCAAGGCTCTGTACTATCACCATTGATATTTGCAGTTGTCATTGATGTAGTTACAGAGAGTGCAAGAGAAGGGTTGATGAGAGAGATGTTGTATGCTGATGACTTGGTCTTGATGGATGACACAATGGAGGGATTGAGGGAGAAGTTTGTAAAATGGAAAAAAGCATTTGAGAGTAAGGGTTTGAAGGTAAATCTGGGAAAGACAAAAGTGATGGTGAGTGGGACGGAGGAGAAAGCTTTGGTGAGTAAGGTTGACCCATGTGGCATGTGTGGAAAGAGGGTAAAGGTAAATTCAGTGCGGTGTGTGAAATGTGGGAAGTGGATACATGGGAGATGTGCAAAGATAAAGAGGGTGACCCAAAGATTGGCAAGGGATTTTGCGTGTGGAAGATGTAAGAATGGAGTTGGAAGGGTGGTGGAACAGGAAGAAAAGTTGTGTGATGAGGTTGAGACAGTGAAGGAGTTTACATACCTGGGGGACAAGGTAAGTGTGGGTGGGGGGTGTGAGGCGGCTGTGACAGCTAGAGCAAGGTTTACTTGGGTGAAGTTTAGGGAATGTGGAGAGCTACTATATGGGAAGAGATTTCCCTTGGAGATGAAAGGAATAGTTTATAAGAGTTGTGTGAGATCAGCATTGCTATATGGGAGCGAGACATGGTGTTTGAGTGAAAATGAGTTGGGTATTTTAAGGAGGACAGAGAGAGCGATGGTGAGAGTGATGTGTGGGGTGAAGTTGATGGACAGAAAGAAAACTAAGGACTTGATGCAGATGTTGGGTTTGAATGAAGCAATAGATCGGTTGGTGAAGGCAAATGGGGTACGTTGGTATGGGCATGTGCTGAGGAGGGAGGATGGGCATGTATTAAGAAGGGCCCTTGATTTAGAGGTGAGCGGTCCAAGGAAAAGGGGAAGGCCAAAGAAGACGTGGAAGATGCAAGTGGAGGAGGAGAGTGGGAATGTTGGGATGAGGATGAGGGATGCTTTAAATCGTGCAAAGTGGAGGGAGGGGGTAAGAGCGATTGCCACTAGTTTAAGGTGAATCCGGCCACTCTCGTCTTCGGGGATCAAACCGGATTTAAAACTCTGGACTACTACTACTACTACTACTACTACTATCCTGGCGTCAACCAGGCCCGGTTGAACACAAGCACCTGCGGACCTTAACCAAGATTCCCCCAAAGTCGCATTTGTTAGTGAGTGAATCTCGGCCAGTGGAATTGGCCTTCCCATTGAGTCTGTGGCCCACTCACCCAGGGTAGGGGTCGACCCTTTTGATGTTCAGCCTAAGGTAGGATTTGAACTTGGGTCTACCGATCAGTAGTCTGATGCGACAACCACTATGCTACCAGTGACCGGCACGACAACACTTTGATGTTTGTTCTAGAACCCAAAAAAAACAGTTACCTGTAACGTGGTATCATGCTGTATGTGATACTGTAAAATATTTAATTTTACTGGAATTTATTTTGGCAGAGAGAACAGCACATTGGAGCATTGCTCTTCTGTTCTAGGATAAAGCGTCTCGGTCATTGTATGTTTAGTTTACACACGCTGTATATCATCAAGGATTTACGAGAGAAGGGTATGAA